ATGTTACAAAATTGGATTATTTTCACTTACTATTGTCGCCTCTGGGTTGTTCTTTAACAACAGCTTTTGAAGCCATTTCTAAATCTTCTTCTTTTTCTTCTTGATCGTTATTCTGACTACCAAAAACCCCTCCAAGACTTGCCCAAAACGATGAAAAAAAAACTTGGAGACGACTATTGGGCGCCTGTTTTTCTGGGTCTTCGGTCACCACAATTCAAATCTAAATCATTCTTTCTCTAAATTCCTCTCTTCCTCCGAAATTATTTCTTTCTCTTTCTAAAAATTCTTCTCTGATTTTGCTGTTGAATGGTAATGCAGAAGAAAAGAGGCTTGGGAGACTGATTGGGGTATATAAGGTTGAAACGTAGAGACGCTTCCCTTCAACGGTCATATTCTTGTTAATCAAAGATTGAACGGCTCGGATCTCGGCTTCGTAGCTTTCCAATTTGCTTACTAGCCGTTAGAGGGCAGTATACAAGGAGCCTTGAATTTTACCATTTAAACTAATTACCTTTTCTTTTTTTTTCTTTTGAGAAAAAAAAAATTTCTTTCTATTTGATTCTAAAATTTATAATCAAAAATAGAAAAGTTGATTTTTTTTTCCATAAATAGCGTTACCAGAATTTAAATAACTTGCCTTTAGATCAAAACAACGCCAAATTGAAATATTGTGCATGCATTAAGTGTAAGGGCCAATTCGAGCCCCATTTGGGAGTGATTTTTAACTCCAAAAAATTGATTTTTAATTGTTATTTCACTATTTCAATCGTAATTTTTACTTCTTTCCTCACAGATGACCCTCATTTTTTTCCTAACGGTCAAAAAATCAATTCTCATAATCGCTCTCGAGTTAAAATAATGGTTGGAATAGTGAAATAACGGTTAAAAAATTAATTTTTTGCAATGAAAAATTGATACCAAACGGGACTAAATACAATTTGCAATTAAAAGACATGTCGAAAACTATATCAAATTACTAAAACGTCCTATATTAATAATTTAAATATTTAGATATGGTAACAATAAATATGTTATTTGTTACTTGTGAAAGCAAATTGAACGACTTTATTTTCAATTTTTCTTTGATTAAAATTTTCAAAATTCTAAGTTAAAAATTTGCTTACGGTTAGCTATGAACCTCCAAATAATTAGGTTAGAATTTCACAATAGTTTTACACACTTTTACTTATAAGCCATTAGACCGTGCGCCCAAGCAAGAGTTCACTGGCACGTAGTAAGGCCCAATAGACTATAAATATTTTTTGAAGAAATTGCAATGTTGATTCTTTGAGTTGGATTTTTGCAGCAACTTAGCCCCTGTTTGATTTTCATTACATTACATTCTATTTTTCTCTCTCCTATTTTCAACCACACAATCTTCCATAAAATAATATTACACATAAATCGAAAATTTTTCTTTCTTTTTCAACCACTCATTTTTCAAAAAACACTATTCTATACATTAAATTTTCCCCGTAATGGGGGCCAAACAGGGGCTTAATCCGAAAAGTCTAAATCTCGACATTTAGATTGTCAAACTTAACAGATATTTTCAATGGTTGGCCCCGTTTTAAGCCCTTGTTTGAGCCCCATTTTTTTAAGAATCATTTTCAACCACGTTTTTCTATAAAATAGTTATACATGTATTTCAAAAAAAAAAA